CTTGAAGTAAGAATCACCTCCATCTTGTAGTAATGTGACACTTGGAGTAGAACCTTCTGGCGGGCCTCTGACTCCTATGATTACTAGATGGTAATAGTTACCATTGGTCCCGTTCACACCAGTTTTCACTTTGGCCAAGACAAAGCAAGGGAGAGAACTCTGTGATGCAGTGGTGGGATGTATCCAGAACAACATCACAAAAGACTTGGTTAATTGAACTAGGTGAAAAGTTCCTCTTTACCTTTGGCTTGCAGGACCCTAGCTCATTGCTAAGACTGCTTATTAGTAACCCAGGCTGTTCCCCTCTGTAAGGACAGGCTAGCAGTCAAGCCTAACCATGATGCACTAACCATGATGGGCTGCTCCGGAGCATGTTGACATATAACCCAATGAGAACATGTTCATCGGCTAGCCTGTCTGCCACATTTAGGCTGTACTGTATCCTAAAACAGGGTAGGAGGAAAGAAGAATTAAGAGAGGTGGACATAGGAGGAGTGAGTTTGTGGTAGGAAAAGCACTCAGAAAACCAAGCCAGTAAAGGGAGACTATATGTGATGTACTACGAAAAACACAAGCAAAACCCAGGCAAGGGGATCCAGAACTTCATACTACTAACTTTCAAAACACGAGGTAACTCTTTAGAAAACAGATTTGCATTCTTTGACCACAAAGACCAAGGAACTTGTCTCCATGGAAAACACATCGAAACATGTCACAACAAAGATTAAATATCTTTTGGGAAATTGGGTTAGTCATATAAAATTAGAATAAAGGAAAAAGGAAGTAGAGAAAGTAATAACACAAGTGTGTTCACTTGGAATAATGACTTGGTGCTGTTAGTGAGTTGTAAGACAGCTGCTATTCTAGGTCAAACGGTCTTTCACATGCAATCCTTTACAGCAACGCCATCTTTAGTTGAGTTAATTGAGGATCTCAGCACACTCTGGCTTCAACTTACCCTTTGCCCTTCAGAAAGGTTGGAGCAGCCCTAGCCAGCATTTTGTTCTGTTCTACTTCACTGTCCTTGGGAGGAGAGCTAGTTAATAAGATGGGAAAGCCAAGAAGAGGGTAAACACAGCGACACATTGAGACTAGAAACCGGTCAGAAGTTTCTAGATCTACTAGTCTAGTATCTAGTCTAGATCTACACTCTGTGTGGACAGATGGCTCAGGATTTTGAAATGCTCAAGATGTCTCCAGATTTCCATAGAGTTTATCTAAGAGAAGAAACTATTTGAGGGCCATAATAGCTACCATGATCTCAGACTTGACCTCTGTTATTTGCTTAACAAGGAACACTTATATTGCATGTGGCTAGACTTCATCAGAACCCATCTAAACATTTATTCCAGGGTATGATGGAAACAGTCCAACACTTCATAAAGCCCTGCCAACATTTAGATGACTCTTAAGAGGTTTGCTTCCAGGCTGCAGAAATAGCTCAGCTGTTAAAAGCATGTCCAGCTCCTTTAAAGGATCCGGGTTTTGTTTCCAACACTCACATCAGGTGGCTCACAGCTGTCTATGACTCTAGCTCTGGGGGGATCTGACTCCTCTGGCTTCTCTGAGTACCAGAACACATGCGGACATGTTCACACATGGCACACACTAGGATGGGTTGCTGATCAAAGATGATGATTAATTCCTTGCAACCATTTCTGCCCTCAGCTTTTTGATATAAAAAACTGTTGATGAATGGGTATGTACTTTGAGGATTTAAAGTAGAGCCGACTAATTGTTTTTCATATATAAAAGGTTAGATTTGTGATTCTTTTAAGATTCCTTAAAAGATTACCATTTAAGATAAATAATAAAATAATTGATTCTTTCTTTCTAACCAAAAAAAAAAAAATACATTGCTTGCTTACACTCTGTAATCTATAACAAGTTGCTTGTGTATAAATGTACGTGGGTTTTGGGGATAATTTGTTTTTCACCTGTAACATATAAAATGTTTAATTATGTAAGGGATATGGAAAACATGTTGTTTATTACTTGCATGCATTGTAATCATTCACTTGAAAAACAGAATGTAACCACATTGTAATTTTTATACTGCTTGAAAGATTTTGCTGTGGTATATAAGCTGTAAGGGAAAAAAATAAAGAAGTTAGAGGAAAACACCAGGGAAGATGTAGAAGGAAGTCATCGGGAAAGAGAAAAGAAGAGAAACATCAGGATAGAAGAACAGAATGGAAAAAGAATAGAGTAGAACAAGCAACAGAAAGAAGAATAAAATAGAAGAGAAACTTATCCCTCAGAAAAGAAGTCTGTGTGTTTTTTCTTGCTGACTCTGCATCTCATTCCCAGTCTCTCTGACCTGTGTGATGAATATCACATCAGAATTATGTACATTACAATTAGGATAGAATTATATGGTTTATAATACTATGTACTAAAGATTTCTTAAATAGTCAAAGTCTCTGGTACATTTGAGCCAAATTTTATTCATTTAAGAGCCTAGCAGATAATCAAGTTTGTTTAAGTTATGATACTTTTAATCAGCTTATCAGGAAAGCATCTATTTTCTTAAGTGTTGCTGTGTTTAAAAAGCACAACCGCACATACATAAAATTGGCTTTAAAAATAAATCAGAGAAAGGGGTAGAAAGTGATATTTTGATGTATGTGGACATTGTAGACTAATTCAATCAAGCTAATTAGTGTGGTGGGACATTATTTTCAGCAGGCAAAGATATGCTGCATTTGTTTATGCTGCATAATATTACTTTATGTGAAGGTGTGTTACATTTGTTCATACTGCCTTTGTTAAAGATGTGTTACATTTGTTTCTTTTGCATTTGTTTAACTATGTAAAGTTGTGTTACATTTGTTTGTGCTGCATTTGTTTAACTATGTAAAGATATGTAGCATTTGTTTCCCCTTGCCTGCCTAAGGCACCTGACTGGTCTAATAAAAAGCTGAGTGTCCAATAGCTAGGCAGCGGAGGGATAGGAGGGGTTGGCGAGCAGAGGGAACAAGTAGGAGGAGAGAAGAGAACAAGGGAGAAGGAAAGGGTGATGCCCAGGGTCAGCCAGTCAGGCACAGGGCAAGCAGGGGAGTAGGACACACAGAATGAAAGAGAGGTAAAAAGCCCCGAAGCAAAATGTAGATGAAGAGAAACAGATTCAGTTAAGTTATTAGAGCTAGCAAGAAATGAGCCTAAGCTAAGGCTGAGCATTCATAACTGATAATAGGTCTCCATGTCATGATTTGGGAGTGGGTTGGTGGCCCCAAAGAAAGCCTGTTTCAAATTAGCATAGCCACATTTCACATATTTATTTTGTATACTTGTAATATTTAAAATCTACTCTTCCAGCAACTTTGAAATATTGAATATGTTATTATTAATGATTGACACAATGCGCACAACAGATCGCTATGACTTTAAAACTGATACATTAGATTAATGTTCTAGAGGACCTGATTTCCCTATGGTCTTAATGATGTTTTTCAGGATATTGATTTTTATCCCCTGAGCCCTAAGGAACTTCCCACCATGCCAATAACCACTTTAACTCATTATAGTTGGTGTTTACTGTAATGTTCCATTATTCCACCACAACAGCCCTCTAAATCTTGTCTCCTGAAGCAACTCAACATACATTCCTTATCCAATAATCACAGTTTTCTTCCTTCTTCTCAATGTTTTCCTAACCATTTTCTCTAGCTGAGGGCAGATACATTTGTTACAGATCTCAGATGTCCACAGACCATTCACTACACTGTAAGAATTTTCAACCACTCCTCCTCCTCCACAAAAAAATGACTTCACTGCTTCTAACATCTCCTTGCTCTTTGAACATCAGAAATTATAACAGTAACTCCTTAAACCAAAGACTACTATTAAATTATTCAGGCATATCTTCTGATGTTGAATGCAAGATTTAAAACAAAGACCCAGTAGAGACAACTAATGGGTTTTGGAAGATCAAACACTTTGAAAATATTTCACATATAGTTAAAATTCTATTGTTAGTTTTGAAGGTTGACAACTGATGTCATGATTTTTACTTTAATGGAAGAATTTTTGGGGTGTCTTAGGGTAAAATTCTATGCAAATACTTGTTGGATTTTGCTGAAACCTGAAATTTGTGTTAAAACAGCTCTGCTTATCTTGGAATACCCTTTTAAACACTGATTAAGGAAATTTGTTTCTCCTTTTGAACATAGTATCAAAGGATTGTATTTGATCTCATGGAATATAGAATATTTAATATCACAGTGGCGAAGAGAAAAACAATATTTTAACCATTGTAGATTTTAAAAAGCACAAATCTAGTTTCTATGAATTCTTAAATAAATGGTAGACTGTGAAGAATGCTTGTGAAGTCAGCTGCTTCTTCAAGAGATCCTCAACAGTAAAAACCCGCTTCTCACTAATTTGTTCAATAGTGATAAGGTCCTCAAACTGACAAACTCAATAATAAGAGTCCTCTCATTACTTTAGTGAAGAGAAAATTTCTTGAAACATTCTATTTTACTTTCCTACATTTCAGCAGCTCAGATTGAAATATAAAACTCTGGTTTTTGCAAATTAAAATTATGCATTAAAATAGGTTAGTGTTCCAGCAGGAAGATTAGTTACCCATGGGGATGGACAGAAAGTTCAATAGTTAAGAGCTTTTATGGCTCATGCAGTTGACCTGGATTAAGTCCCCAACACCCACCCACAATAGACTGTAACTACAGTTTCAGGGGATCCTACGTCCTCATTTTTGCCTCCATGGGCATCTGTAAGCATGTGGTGCATATAAACTCACACAGGCACACATATATACACATGAATAAAATAAACAAATCTTCAAAAAAGAAAATCAATTATCCATCAATTCAGGTTGGCATAAACACCAAGCCATCTTAAATAGGCATCATAGAAGAAATAAGAGTTCTGAGGTCAGTTTTGCTTGATCATATTTGTTATGTCATTCCCTAATATCATCACCAAGCTGTATCAATTGTATGTTTGTTAAGAGAGTCTATATAAGAGTCTTCTGTGTACAGAACATGTGCAAACACCAACTAAAGCATCCCAGTAAGAGAAGAAAGGTCAATAAAGTGAGATGTCCATAGTTTTAATTATGTGCTAACACATTTATGGATATTAGAACTTTGTTCGAAGATTGTTAGTTCTAGCTTTTTAATTGTGTGCCAACATGTTTATATGGAAATCAGAACTTTGTTAAGACTGTTAATTTTACCTTATAAATGAACTTCAATAAAGACTACCTATGGAGTGTGGTTATTTTATTTATAGAACTTCATGCAACATACACAGGGATTGTGAAGACACTCGGAAAATCGTTAAGGCAGTGCCAGGTATTGATGGATAAATTTGCCTGGTTTTGTTAACGAAGGTGTTTGAGAGTGGTGATATATTGTGTACCCTAATAAAGCTTGCCTGAGGATCAGAGGACAGAGCCAGCCACTAGATTAGACATAGAGGTCAGGCAATGGTGGCACACACCTTTTATTTTATCATTTGGGAGGCAGAGATCCATCTGGATCTCTGTGAGTTCAAGGTCACACTGGAAACAGAGCCAGGCATTGGTGGCACATGCCTTTAATCCCAGGACTGGGAAGCACACACGCCTTTAATCCCAGGAAGTGATGGCAAGGTGGAGAAAGGTATTTAAGGCCTGAGGAAACAGGAACTAAAGCAGTTTAGCTGAGAATTTCAGCCTCAGAGGATTTCAGTCAGAGAATTCATGGAGTTGGTGAGGTGAGAGGTAGTGGCTGTGGCTTGCTCTGCTTCTTTGATCTTTCAGCTTTTACCCCAATATCTGGTACCAGGTTTTTGTTTTTGTTTTTATTAAAAGACCATCTAAGATTCAAACAGCATTTGAGTTCCATTCTTAGACAACATCAGCCATGGGAGAACCTTTCAGAAGCAAAGGCTGAACCTAGCATAATTTCATTAACCACTTTGGATGGCCAAATCACAAATGCCTATAACATAGTTTGTCCCTTTTAAGTCGGGCTAAAAGCTGGGCCATTAAATAAAGAATCTTTGGGTGAGCAGAAGTGTTTGAGAAGAATAAAAACAGACACAAGAATTTTTTTTTCCTGAAAACATAATCCAGGAAACCCAATGACCAACAAGTCAGGCAAGAACAATGTCACATAAAGGCTGTCCTGCTAGGAAGAGCCAGGATTTGGGAGGTGACTGGGGTCTAACACAGTGGGTGGCTCTGTGGGTACCCTCCTCACAGGTACTGTAGGGTTTCATGCAGTGTCAGTAATAAAAGATGGAAAATGAAAAAAAGCATGTTAGATTGTATTCAGAGCACTATATAATTTATATAAACAACTTTCTAATATTTAAAGAAGGGTAAGATATGGCTAGGTGCCATATATAATAGCCAATGTGGTTATTTTTGTGAATATTACCCCTTTCAAAGTTATAGCTATGAAAATGCTTGTGAAACCCTTAAACCATGTACTTAATATTGAAAGTAAAAGAAATTATCCATTCATACTTTTAAGGGGCATCATAACTAGGGAAGAAGACGGCCATAATTAAAGAGCTTATTCAACATGGGAAAGAGGTAGATAACCTTTGTTTACACACTAAGTAAGGGATCTGGGCAGATACTTAAGATTTTGCAAAGAAGGTATGATGCCAAAAGAGAAAGCTGACCTTTTGGAGCACTACACCATGAATGAAATAAATTGGTCAATGAATTTGTTCTTTGACCCACTCCGACCCAGTTGCTAACTAGTAATGAGTGTAGATTTGTTCATATAACACACAGCTATCATGCCTGAAGACTTCCCAGAACTGCAGGGAATTTCATCTTCCTTTTAGCTAATGGGACAGTGAGTTGAGTATCTAGTTGGAAAAAAGGTATAAGAACAGGGGATATACAGATGGTGGTGGGACCATGGCTCCAATCTGTGTGAGGTAGATCACTAGAATGCCAAAGGACTTGAAAGACACGTCCTAGCGCCTTCTGAAGATCAAAGTGTCAGGCTTGTAAAGGACTGGAGGGCGTGACGCCAGGTCTTCATAGTGAGGATCTTGCTATAGTGATTTCAGCTTCCTCACAGTCTACAACATCATTCTCTGATTACTGAGACTCCTAAGTGACAGTACTAATGGACAGCTTGTTTAAATAAAATGGCTGTGTGATGGGGGAATGTCTTTCTGTATGCTGTGAATATGTGTTGCTCTGACTGGTTGAAAAATAAAACGCTGATTGTCCAGTAGCCAGGCAGGAAGTACAGGTGGGATAAGCAGACAAGGAGAATTCTGGGGGGAGGAAGGCTGAGTTAGGAGATGCCAGCCCGCCCTCCAGGGAGCAGCATGCAATAGCACACAGGTAGAGCCACGGAAAACGTGGCAATTTATAGATTAACAGAAATGGGCTGAGTTTAAATGTAAGAGTTTAAATGGAAAGTCTGAGCTAATGGCCAAACAGTTTTAATTAATATAAGCTTCTGTGTGTTTAATTGGGTGATGAGAGAAGGAGAGATTTGTCCTGATGACTGGCTGGCCGGAACACAGGAAATCTTCCTATTACAGCTGTGTAAGTTTTCCTAAAACTGTGGCACTCCAATGGGGCTATTGGGATGTGACGGAAGTGGGAACCAAGTTCTAGGTCATATTTCATTAGCCTGCCTCTAGTTATGGAGGGAAGAGGACCTTTAACTTCTTTCTGCCTTTGGCATGCTATAGTTGCATCGACCTTAGTGTGTGTTGTGGTAAAGAAAGTGGAAGTCGGTCAACACCAGCATCATCAAGTGGGAGGAATGAAGCCCCAGCAACAAGAAACTGGCTCCAAAATCACTTCTTCAGTGGGATTCAGATTATTTTCCCTTGACATGAAAATGCCCTTGGCTCAGTGGGACAGAAGAGTTTCAAAGCTTGTTAAACCCTTGGCTCTTTAGCTGCACTAAGGTCTAGCCAAAGCCCTTGTTCTTGTTTTATTCATTTAGTGATGGACCATTCCTCAAGGATCCCTAATTCAAGAGTCTTAGCAATCACCACCTAGGGTCTTGTAAATTATACATGGCCCAGCTTGGTACTTTTCATATACCTGCACCTCATACTAGCACAAAGGTATAAAAGTTATAAAATAACCAGGAAGAAGAGGAAGAGCTGAGAAATCAGTCCAGCCTTCCCTTGAAGACCCACCACTAGAAGACTAAGAATTTTCATACTTGGGTAGAAACATCAGCTTTCTAACAACCACTTAATGGCCGCTATTGTTAAAGACTCAGAATGGGGGCTCCTGATCACGCCCCAAGGTTAAGCTGATTTGCACACACAGCTTTCTGAGGGAATGCTTGGCTGTGGGGCTGGATGCTCTTAACTCAAGTGACCTGAGGGGTGCAGACAGTGAAACCTCCCATGGACAGAGTGAGGCCCACTCAGAGAGGACGGATGTTCAGTGTACACAGCTTTATTGAGCAGCACCCTAAGAACAAAAACTGAAGTCCAATCTCTGCAGTGATGAAAACCACACATTTCATACAAATCTGTGGTTCATGGGGAACAAGAAAAAAGGACTGAAAATGGGAAGAAAGGGAAGCAATCAAATTCTAGGTTAATAGAGGAAGCAGAAAAGCTCAAAGTATTCTAGGAATATTTTAGGGTACAGGAAGTCATGTTATCCATCTAGACGCATCCACCATGAGCGCCGTCCAAGCTGAAATGATATAAAATGACCTTCAGTAAGGATGGGGTCTGCCTTGGTGTGGCGTTTGCAGAATGCAGAGCTTTCTAAAACACACAGTGTCTTTCTAAGCCTCACAACAAGTCTTCACTAGACAGACAGATGCACAGCTCTGTCTCCTACTGACTCTATGATTTTTCCTTTAGGAAGGATGGCTTTATGTGTTGATGGCTATGAAAAAGGGTGGTCATAAGAAGTTACTGAATGCCTAAAGCTCATTATTTTGCTGTGCATGTTCTGTGGTATGATTGTCTCACTGCTTGCACTTAGATTTAATTTATGTATTGCAAACACTATGGAAACATATTCTCTTTGTTCTGCTTATTATAATTAAGAGGAACTTTTTCCTCTCAGGTTCCAGCTGATGGGCATATACAGGGATGCATGGGAAAAAATTACTCTATCCACGTAAACCTTCTCTAGAACGTGCCAGAACATTGTGGAGTGAAGTTGGCACCTCCTCATCCTCTCAGGGAAAAGGAGGAGGGTTGTTCTGCAAGGCAGTCAGGTCTTATGCTCAATCACTTCGTCATTTTCCTTACCTTTCTTCTTGCTTTCCTGTGAGACTCCATGTGTGCACCAAATAACTCACTGGTGTTGATCTGTGATTTTCATCAAATGAACCAGAGTACCTCTTGAGCCCTGTGTGTTCCTGACACTAACACTCAGAGGAGTGCATGGGTCCCCTGTTCCTTAAACACATAGAGTGGATTTTGTACAAAACGACGAGACACATAACCACATCTTTGAAAAGTTCTTGATACTATCCATGTGATTATTGGCGTGGAAACTCTATTCTAGGTTTGGTCTTCAGCCCTGGCCTCAGGGACTCTGGAGGTCTTCCAGAGAGTATTAATACCCCTGGAGTCTTAAATAATGAGTCATTTTAGGCTCCTTTTAATAATATACCCCTGCATATGTGTAAGTAGTAACATTGAAGCACACCCTAATTACTACTGTGGGGAGGCTATAATGCAGAAGTTACACCTCAAGAGCCAACCCAGCCCTCTACATGTGTCCATGTGAGGGAAATTGAGAACAAGTGATGGGCATTTACAAACTTGTTTCCAATAATAATAATAATAATAATAATAATAATAATAATAATAATAATACTCTGCATTTGTCATACAGTAGAATAGTTTTCTCACCACAGTATCAAGCTTATTCCGAAAGGGATGGTTATTTAGTGGCAGGATTGGGAACTTACCTCCTAGTGATGAAAGGACTTCCTGAGGAGGGGACAGAGTGGGAGAAGAGAGTGTCGTTCATGCTGGTTACAGGTCTCGGAGGCCTGAAACAAAGCACAATGTGCGTGCAAACGTTAGGGCAAAGGAACAAACACAAGCTCCCCACCATCCATGGAGGGGAAGGATGAGAATCAGAGTTGTCTCCAGTCCAAGGTCCACGGGAAAGCTTATATATGCCAACTGAGTTACTCTATGGTATAAAGTAGCAATTCCTTGAGCACACAGAGACTTAAGCACTAGGGAGCTGGCCGGTGACGGGGGAATGTTTTTCCAAGGGCGTTGAGCCTCGATGCCTCATTGAGTCATGTTTCTGAGAAGATCAGGGACTCTGACAGTTCTGTGAGCTCCTCCTGATGGTGTCCTCTTTAATACGCTGGTCTGAAAGGACACACACCAAAATGAAATCCCGTCTTGTTTTATTTGTCCCGTGTCTGAGTGCAGACGCAGGGACGCAGCGCCAAGACTCTTGTGCTGATGTTTGGCAGACCCGCGAGAAAGGCTCTGTGGTGTCGACCATGCTGTAAGATTCACTGCATTCATAACAGTCGTGAGGGAAAATAGTGACCACGTTCCTCAGAACCGCCCACGGCTCAGTACGCCACATGCACTGGGTCTGCCTTCCTCAGTTTTCTCTCCATTCCATCCTGTCACTGTCTTTATCATGTATGTCCCACATCAGCTAAAACCGCAGAGTCCAGATCCCTCTCTCATCTCCTTGACATTTTTGTCTTATTTTAGGTTAAATGTAAGATATTGAACACTATTTTAGAGCCCAGAAGATCAAGGATATACTGGGGCATCATTCACAGTGAGAGGAAACTGACTTATTTACCTATTGAGATGGGGTCTCATGCACCCTAGCCTCAAACTCACTGTTGAGAATGACCTTGAACTTCTGATTCTCCTGCCTTGACCTCCTGAATGCTGGGATCACATGCATGTGCCACACTAGGTGCTAGGTTGATGTGGGGCTGAGAATCCAACTCGGGGCTTTGTGCATGCTAGGCAAGCACTCTACCGACTGAGTTATTTTTCGAGCCCTAAGAGGAAGTTTTAGTTTTACTATAATTCTATATTTGAAATTGACAAGATAGAATATCTTGGAGAAGAGACATTAGTTTCAGTAGTCTATGAGAGTTGATTAACAGTTAGCTAATTAACATTAATCCAAGTTAGTTTTGGATTTTTGCCTTTAACAGCAAAATGCGGACTTGTTTATCCTGTTTGATGTGATGCACTATAGGTTTTAAAATATCAGCACTGCCTCTGAACATTCACTGAAACTTCTTCCTGGCATCTGGAGCTGCACTACATTCCAAGATTCTGTGTGGCACATCACTTCTTGGAGGAGGTCGGAATAACAGATTCACTACGTCATTCACTCTGGATTTATCAACCAAGGTTCAGAAAACAATCTCTGAGTGTTGGATTTTTACCTAGGATGCATCTTTGTGATGGGGACAACCCAAGGGTAGTTAAAATGAATTGTGCTTTAATGTGAATAACTTAATTTTATAAGGGGGATGATCAATGCATCCAAATGTCCTCTGTAATTAGGAAGGTAGGCACATTAGCATTTAAAACAGCAATCGGCATGAAATATGTTCATTATAACTTTGTGAAAAGTTGAAATTGACCCCACAGTTCTTGTTTTCTTTTTACAAAAGGAAAAACCTTCCAATTTTGCTCTATATCTAGGAGATGGAAAACAAATGAACGGAGAATGCTTTTTAATTAACCTTGCCAGTTTTCTTATTGAACCTGGTCACCGAAAAACTAAAACTGGAGTTTCTTAGCAAATTGCTTCATGTTTAAGGGTCACCAATCAATAAATCAAACTGGGAGCAGAAGATGGCAGTTTTGAAAGTGACTAAAGTTCCTAACTTCCTCTATCATCAAATGGCAAGTTCCCATCCTCAGCACAAGCCCCACCTGGGGGATGTTACCGTGTTTATTCTTAATAAAATGAAACAGCCTCACCTGAACAATGAGCCTCAGAGACAACACACAAAGATTTTTTTTTTCTGCATAAATCTTAGCAAAGAACTTATAAAAAACTAACATTGGTGTCCTCCTCATAAGTGCAAGGGTTCAGCTCAAAGCTGGATTGGTTTTACACTAGCCTTCTACGGCCCACTTGTTCTCCATCTCCTAACTACTTATCATTAGGATTGTAAATCTGTGTCAGGATGTGTGTGAGGTGTTAATCACTTACCAAGTATCACTTTTTGGCAGCAAGGAAGTGGAACAGAATATAAAATGTTAATCATGGCAACATTTACAAGCAATGCAATAGTTAAGCACACATGCCGAAATCCCCAAATGCCACCACCTGCTCACTTCTATTTGAGAACTAATTCATGACTGACAGTGCCATTTAGCTACATGTGCATAAAATCCCGCGGCTCCTGAAGGCAATAACATTTTCTTTGTCATGTGACTCATTTCTATATGCAAAGTTAGTAGTACCCTAACCTGATATGATGTTGTCATTGTTGCTGTTATTATTGTTTTCTGACCTGGAGTCTCCCTATGTATCCCTGCCTGGCCTGGAACTCGCTACATAGACCAGGCTGGCCTTGAGTTCACAGAGATCTATCTGCCTCTGCCTCCTGAGTGCTGAGACTGAAGGTCTGCACCACTACACTGGACTGACTAATGTCGTATTGATTCAGTCTCTCTTTACCTAAGGCTTCTTGAAAAATGTTTATTTAGTTACAGTCTTCTCACCACCATATTTTTGCCATTTTCCATAGTTAAAAGCTGGAGATTTATAGAGTCTTAATGAGAGTATTTTCTAATTAATGTATTATGTATAATTAAGCAGAAGCCATGTGTTTTTGTTTCAGTTTATGCTTATGGAACTTAGAACGACTTTTCGCTGCTCGTGACTGGATACACATTTTAGACATTAACATCAGGTTTTAGCACAAACACAGCAAGATGCACCTTGAAGAGGACAGTATTACATTTCAAATGCATGGGCTTCCTAACACAGACATGTCTCATATTACGTGAAGATGTGTAATTATCTTCTCATAAATATTCATGTTATGTGATTTTTCCTCAAAATTGATAGCAATTTAAAAATTAATATACTTTTCATATTAACAAGCAACACATGCTTTATTTTGAGTTCATGCTGTAATTCTCTGTGACCCAGCCTCTTGGATGTTCAGTGCATGACACAATGTGTCCATTAATACTCCCGATCCCCACCCACTGCCTCCGCTCTGCCTCTGCCTGTGGGGTTCATGTGTGCACAGGTGATACACTGGGATATTTATATACTGGCTGATGTATATGAACATATGTCCAAACAATGAAAAGATGTGGTTGGGAATCACAATTAATGAAACAATCGTAAATTTTTTTCAGGATGGTCTTTGTTAGAGAAAAAAATTTAAAAATTCATACTACTTCTGTTTTTGTGCTATGGTCATAGTGCTCTCTTTGAGATCTTTCTGGTTTTTAGAAAGATGTTATTAATAACTTTTATTTTATGTGTGTGAGTGTTTGTCTAGATGTATATAAGTGCCCCACATGGTGCCTGGTGACTAGAGAGGCCAGAAGTGGGGACTATGTCCCTTGAAATGGGCATTGGTTACAGGTAGTTGTGAGCTGCTGGGTGGGTGCTGGGAGCCAGACTTGGTCCTCTGCAAGAGCAGCCAGTACTAGTAACTGCTGAGCCACCTCTCCAGCCCTGGAGCTTTCTGTTTTAAGCATATTTGGGAATAACATATCAAAAGCATTAAGTGTGCAGGGAGGTATTAGTGTCTGGTATTTATTAAAGTGCTCATTCCCTTATTTTCATTGTCTAGTACTTGTGATGAGAGAACTTGCCATTAAATGTCATATAATTTATAAAGCATGTTAAAATAATATGTGTATTCACACAGACACATGTATACATACATATCCAGATATACACACATGCATACACACATACACACCCATATATACACATACTCGCATATACATAGAAACACACACATATACATATACACACATACATGAAAACAGATGCACACATACATATGCACACACATACTACAGACACCCAACACAATTAATCCCAAGTGCGGACCGCACAGGGCCCTGGGTTGGGTAAGCATAGTGTGACTCACTTCTCTATGGCAGCACCCTCCACTCTGCTATACTGCCCTGCTCTCAGCATCGGGCCCTAGCCACTCTCTCTCTGCCTGAGGCCGGCAGCTTGGAAGTGGGAGCCGTCGATGGAAAGCGAGTCTCCACAGAGCTCACACAGTGCAAGCTCGTCCCACCTTGTGCTCCTTCCCAAGCAACTCGGATGTCTTGTCTCCTTGGTGATGCCAAGAGCAACAGCAGGCTTTTTAACCCAGCCGCTCCTGGGCAGGTAAGTCATCATCACTACAAGCAGTTGTCCCTGGGAGACTCCCCTTGCTTATGAACTCCTGGGTTATTTATTGGAGCATATTTTTAAAAAAAGGTAAAAATCAAGTTAGCCAGTCTACAGAGTGGGTTTTATATTGGTTTTATGGGGTTTGGCCTATGTCAGCATTATATTGCTTTTATACTTAAAAAAATATTAAAACTTAACAAGTGTGTGTGTGTGTGTGTGTGTGTGTGTGTGTGTGTGTGTGTGTGTGTATGTGATGGAAACAGAATGGAAATTATTTGTATGAACGGGACCAGCAAGAAGTGGAAAGAGGTTTAGGGGAAGGACATGGGGATGAATGGGAACAAAGTGTAATGATATACATAAATATATAAAGAGTTTACACTGAAACTCATTTCTTTGTATGCTAACAACAACAACAACAAAAAAGGACTAAAAGAACACGTAAAACTTGGCACTGACAAATGATGTGCTGTTGTCTTGGTATGAATGCTCCAGACACGTGAGAGTGAAGGAAAACACATCCCAGTTGGGGGTCAGAGATACTCACACGATATGAGCCAGGTTGAGTGGTTTCTCGGGCTGATCTGGGAACATGGGGTGCAAAGGTTCGCGGCTTGAAGCGCAGCTCAGGGACTTGCTTAGCGCGTTCGTCAGCTTCTTAGCAGGTGATTTCTAGAAGGCGAATAATACCGACCTTTATCTTACACTTTATCAGATGGACGTAAAATTCTTACTAGCAGTTGCAATACTCATTCACTCATTTCTTGATCGATTCATTTACTGAAGAACTCGGTTTTGAGCACCTGACCTCTAAGTCAGGAAGATTGTTAGAGGAAGTGACTGCATGCTGGGACAAGCCATCCGGCTACCCAGCCCTTGCTGTAAAGTCCCTGAGAAGTGCTATGGTGAAGGGAAGAAGTCCTTGCGTGGGAAAACATGCATTGAGGTTTAGGAGACGATTAGAACCTGCTGAGAAAATGTCAGGGGAAGGGAGGGTAATCCCAGATGGGAGGATAGCGACTGTAAAGGGAGGACAGTGAGAGCACTCTAGAGAGGGCAGTGGGAGGACTCTAGAGAGGGCAGTGGGAGGACTCTAAAGAGAACAATGAGAGGACTCTAAAGAGGGCAGTGGGAGGACTCTAAAGAGAACAATGAGAAGACTCTAGAGAGGGCAGTGGGAGGACTCTAGGGAGGACAGTGGGGGACTCTAGACAGGGCAGTGGGAGGACTCTAGAGAGGACAGTGGGAGGACTCTAGAGAGGGCAGTGGGAGGACTCTAGAGAGGAAAATAGGAGGCACCCACATTCCCATTGGGTAGAGAGATATCTGTTGATATCTCCTCAGGAAGAAACACAGTGTGTGTGTATATATAAAAAAATTTAGCAAGTTACCCTTTACATAAGTCTACACGAAACATTTAAATATATAATAACTCAGACAACTTCACATTCTTGTGACTGAACTATTTTAGGCAGTTCAATTGGCTTGGCTGATGGTACAGCCAACAGCAACCAATGCAGGCACAAAACGGTAGATGTCAGAGACAGGGTGAGAACTGAACTTTGAGTTTAATTGAGGTAGATCAGAAAACAGGAGCCATATAGACAGCAAGCACATGGGGTTGACTCCACAGACCAGCGCCACATGCTCCCCCACATGGGCACTCACAGGGCATTTTTACTAAGCTAACCACTCACAACAAGAAAAGCTGATTTAAAACCACAAATCTCCCCCTCCATTCCCTGGAAAAGAAATCCGAAACTGCCCCAGTTTCATTGAGCACGCATTCTCGTATTCCTGTCGAGTCATGCCTTGAAAGAAATTAGGGATCTTAGGAAAAAAACCATGAAGTACTTTTTTTTTTTGAAAAACCAATTTGCATAGAAAGAAAAGCAAGTGAAACTTAGTAAAACACATACTTCACAGTAAAATGAGACTGACCCAGAGCTGCCTGCCCTTCTGCTGACTAGATCAGTACTGACCTGTCTATATCCTGAGGAGAATCAGAGTTTGCTTCTTCCAGCATTTTAGACTCAGAAAACCACACTTCGCTCAAATAAAAACAGTAAGTGATCCCAGTAGGATGAGGGATGGCAGGGAAGAGGGAAGGAATGTTGAGACAGGAGTTAAGTTTGCCTTTAGTCAGGGTCATCAGGGGAGAGGGAACCACCACCAAGAAAATGCCTCCATCACATCATCCTATCATTAAGTGTGTGGGGCATTTTCTTCATTAATGATTCGTGTGGGAGGGTCCAGCCCTCTGTTGAGAACGCTGTCCAGGGGAGGTGGTCCTGGATGCTATAAGAAAACAGGCTGAGCAAGCCATGAGAACAAGACAATAAACAAGGTTCCTCCATGGCCTCTGCTTCAGTTCCTGCCTCTAGGTTCCTACTGAAGTTCTTGCCTTGACTTCCCTCAGGGATGAATTGTGACCTGGGAGTTTCTTCCAGGGCACTGCAATGCTCACACCTCTGACTTTAAACCCTGCCTGGACCTCACTTACCCATGATGTGTACTCTTTCATTTGGTGCTGGTTGCTGTGGGAACCTCCTGCATGGCCCCTCCAGAAGCAGTCCTGGCAAAGCTGGTAGTTGTGACACTGTTGGCATCGGTAGCGAAATCCCATCATGCTCTCACTGTGACAGTAGGAACACTCAACTGGATGGAAGACTAGGAAGGAAGTAAATGAGGAAAAAACCAGGACAAGTGTGAACTAAACTAAAGAAAAACACAACTTACAAGGAATTCTATTTTTTTCAACTGTGCCCTGTGGTGATTTCAGACCATGATCAACTTTGACTGCCAGAAGTGTTTAGTTTATTCCTGGATCTGCACTTTTTAAGCATATGTATGTGTGTGGGGGGGGGAGGGGGGGCGGGGAGAGGAGGGGAGGAATAGCTATGAAATGGGATGAAGAGTAAGTGTCCTCTGGCAACACAAATCTCTGTAATGCCTTTTGCTCTTTCGACACCTATTTCTTATGTCATAAGAATGTAAATTATCCAAACTGACTAGTCTTTCCCCCGTATCTTCTCCCAGAGACCAGCAGAGGTCATGAAGACACAGAGGCACAATGGTGAATATCATTAAGTATTCTGTAGGCAAGGGGCAACATTAATGAAACAGAAAATGGGAGCAAGAAAAAGAAAAAGAAATGAAATATGGGAATAGAAAAACTAGATGAGAGAATTGAGTTCCTTAAAAAAACAGAGTGGGTAGTGGGCTTATTTAATAGTGACATTGCCTTTATCTAGTACAATACACTTTTCTGGAGCAGAGGGCCAGGTGCCCCAAAGATGAACAAATTATTTGGACACAGCTCCAACTTAGACTGTTTGAGAGACACCTCACTTGTTTGGCCAGGGAGTGTGAATTGTTGAGCTTCAAATCTCAAAGATTTAAAGTTAATATATAATCAAATCCGAATTGTCTTTATGTCATGAGCCAAAGATACTGAAAGAGCATCATCATCAGTTACAACAACAACAACAACACTTCTTGCTTGCTTTTAAAGTTATCTGATTAACTGGGCAAGAAAAGTATTGTCAAACTGCAAAATTTCTCCAATTTGAATAGAAAATAATCTATCCCACGTCTATGTGTTGCTTTAATAAACATTAGGGATAAAGTTGACTTCATTTTAAATTCTCATGTGGAGTATTTAGCATCTGACTCTGTTGTCTCTTGGGGATTATAAGATTATTTTATTTTGCTTTTGGACAAAATTTAAAGAACGAATTTATCAGTTCCTTTTCAATTAGAAAAGTATTACAGGTGCGAATAAATGATGATACAAAGTAAAATGTGAGGAAAGAACATGATGAATTCTGGGACCACTGCTGTCTAAGTGACATCCGAACCCCTCTCTTGGCGCCCAGGAGAGCTAAGGTTAAGTCTGGGTAACTGCTCTGGACAGGCCCTGAGAAGCAGATCTCCTGTGACAGGAAACACTGAGATGTCAGAACTGAAACCACAGCATCAGGATTGGTCCATGATGCCTCCTGGGATGCTGACCAGAACTCTGAACCCATCCTGAGTCACAGTCACCACTCACTGGCTCTTGGAGCTTATATCTACATGATTCTTAATAATTGAAAAGGAACTAATAAATTTATTCTTTAAATTTTGTCCAAAAGCAAAAGAGGATAAACTTATAACCCCTGAGAGACAGAGTCATATGCTAAATATTCCAAATGAGAATTTAAAATGAAGCCAACTTTATCCCTAATGTTTAATTAAAGCAACACATCGACATGGGGTAGAATATTTTCTATTCAAATTGGAGAAATTTTGCAGTTTGACAATAAGACTACAAACAATAGATAGGACTTTAGTCTGAGCCATGTGTAAATTTCTTTAAACCTGTCCCAGGTTGTATTTTATATTTAAATCTGGGTATGTCACTGGCAAACATCTCTAATATTAGAAACCTCTGCTACTTTTGAAAAGAAACATGCAGTGAGGTTTACATTACTCTTGTCTTAATGGGCATGCATAACCTTTAACACGGACCTGAGAGTAAACAAATTGCTCATTTATTTCCTCACCATTTCTCTCACCTATTCCTGCCTGATCCCTTTGGAAAAAATGGTCAGTGTCGTAGATACCAACACGGGAAATTCATCTCTGAAACAAATCCTAGAAAATGGCCTTTCTTGGGATCTCTCTATTGAACACACAGGCAGCATGTTAACTGAGGTTACAGTGCAATTTTAGGGTTTTTTTTTTTTTTTTGCTTGCTTGCTTGTTTGTTTTGATTTGCATTGATAATCCTAATTTTGTAGCACTTAACGGTTTAAGGTTTGGTGGGTCAGGAGGTAGGTTGGTTAAATGATCCACTAAACAAATTTCCCTAAAACTGCCATGGCCTTCATAACTATAGACTTGATGGTCTAAGCTAACCGGTTTAAATACCGTTTGGCTCAGCAGTAACTACTCACCATTTTCGACATTCGCCAGTCGATGCAGAAGAGGCAGCCACACCAGGCACTGGGGAGGAGGGTCCGACATGAGCGTGTCCAAGAAGCCATTTAATGTGACCTTTTTCTGTATCAGAAAAAGAAAAACCGCCAAAGTGCAGATCAGAGAATAATCTGAACTCACGTGCTAGCCACGTATCATTTGAGAAAGAAACACAGCACCCCATTATCTCCTTCTCTAGGGAGAAACGGAACTTGCCAAAGCGTGTTGTTGCACTCGTTTAGAACTGAGAACATCCTCTGCTTCTTGTGCCCAAATGTACGTGAGACCAGATCACCGGCACCAAGCCTGAGTCAGGAGACAATCAGAAGAGTCTGAGCCTCCCTCTCAGAGATCAGGGGCTGTGTGGAAACAAGGAAAGGTGGAGAGCTGAAACCTCACAGACTCCCAGGTGCCTCATGACACAGGCTGTCTGTAGTTCCCTGCTGGTTGGGCTGTGTGTGAATGATTTCCCTTCAGAGTTTCCTCATTGCTTACACACTGCATATTTAGTGGCTAATGTGAATGGCTCCACTGGAATTCGGGAATAGCAAGAATCGTGCTGTCAAATTCTAAAATTATTTTATTTGAAAATTTGAACAAGGATATCAAGGTGGATAGGACCATAATAGTTTTAGTAACAATGAGGCCCAAAGAGGTGCAGTGTTTTAAGGCTCATATTGTGGGCTAAACATCTTGTCTCACTAATAACTGATTCGGTATTGATGTTTTTCTGTCAGCTTACGTGCTGCATATGAATCTACTGATTTTTTTTTTAAAGATTTATTTATTTATTATGTATACAGCATGTATGATTGCTGGCCAGAAGAGGGCACCAGATCTCATTACAGATGGCTGTGAGCCACCATGTGGTTGCTGGGAATTGAACTCAGGACCTCTGGAAGAACAGTCAGTGCTCTTAACCGCTGAGCCATCTCTCCAGCCCTCTACTGATGTTTTAATTATTGTCTGTGGTCACACAGCCCCTCAGTCAGTGCCCTGCTGGCCACTCAGGCCGAAGCCTGGCAGGGATTTGGGTCCTTAGGCCCCGGCTCTATGTGTAGGTTTAAATTAAGTCTCTGTTGTTCTATTTATCAATAAGATCAGAAGTCAAAGGCTGGGGTGAAAACCTGCGAGCTCAGAGAGGCTGAGCAGCAACTAGCTGACCGTGCTTTTTGGCTGAAGGTACTGCAAGAGATGGGTCTCTTCTCTTGTTCCAGAACCAAGAGGAATCCCAGATTCTCTTCCCTGCCCTTCCCTTCCTCTGTGTCTTCTCAGTCCAAATTGCTGGCTCTCTGGCCAATTCCGCTCAGATAAGTTGCTGGCTCCACCTCCTGATTCAAGTTTCGACTTCACTTCAAGTCTCAAGGAGTGTTAGAGTATGATCTAAATGTCCCACAACACTGGATCCACTGACAAATCTCTTACTAATAGAAATTTACAGTTTTAGTTTTTCCTCATAACATTAACTAGTTTAAGTTTCTATTGGGTTGATATGTATATTGCCATCAAGCTATACATTGCATGAAGCATTAGTAAGGAGACAGTATTTTTAAAAGATATCAGAATTTATATGTCTAAAAGAAATTTCCCTTCAAAGCTATTACTCTGCATTGTATGGAATTTTCCCCAGTGAAATATTTCAAACACATCTGGAATTTCAGTCATTTATTTATTCACTATGTGCATGGGTGTAGAGGTGCTTTGACTACGTGTATGTCCGTGGATATACACATGAGTGCCTGGTGCCCATGGAGGCTAGAAGAGGGAGTCAGATCCCCTGGGACTGGAGCTACACAACTGGGAGCCTCCATGTGGGTGCTGGGAATTGAACCCGGGTCCTCTGAAAGTGCAGCCAGAGCTCTTAACCACTGAGCCATCTTTCCAGTGCACCTCCTCCCTGAATGTGGCTATGAAAACATCAAATCAAAAATAAAGTCGACTTGTTTTTATATGTGTCACTTTCTAGATTTTCCAGATGACCTTATGTACTTTGGTCATGCAATCATACTGGCTAAGTTAAAATTGATCCTGAAGTTTCCAAGATATTGCTATAATTTGGATGTGTATAAATTTCTCATCATCAAGAATAAATAAATAAATAATGATGTCATGGGACAATCTTAGGGTATTTTAGAAGGAATTTTTAGCATGAGAATATCTTATTTAATTGTTTTTGAACACACAAGTTCTTTTATGTTTGAAGGTCAGGTAGAGAAAAGACAAACACTATGTGTTTTCTCTCATGCAGAAGCTAAAATGCTCATCTCAGGGAATAAACAGCAATTCCCTAGAGACTGGGAAGGGAGGAAGAGGAGAAGGAGGAAGAAGAGGGGTGGAGAAACAATGGACAATGGGCACCAGAATGCAGCTAGGAGAAACACCAAGTCCAAAAGGAAGTCACTGAGAGTCACTGAGAGGAGAACATACTGACTCAGGGCAGAGGTGGAGGGATGCACAGGAGCCCTGACCCTGAATATTAGTGTCGGCATCTTGAAGATTTCATAAAGACTTTCTCAGCCTGGAAGGCACAGGAGCAGAGTCAGTGTCTAGTATCTAGATATTATCTGGTATGTAGTATCTAGATCAGTATCTGCCATGCACGTCTTTACTCATCAGAAGGTTAGTTATATTCTACAGATGTATGATGGGCGTGACACTTGATACAATTTCAACTTTGCAGATGGCCAAGTAAAAGCAGACTGATGATGTCACTAGCTGGGTGAGCAGTGTGGTTTTCCAGTAGCTTCCATGCACATTTCTTTTCCTTTTAAATTTTGTTTCCTGTTTTAATTGAACAGACCACTTGAGAAAGCACACTTGGTTAGTTTAAACTATACAATTGTAAACAAATGTTATGTGCATGAATTTGTATTGGAGAATGAACATATGGTCTTTCCATGGAGGTATAAGCTGAAGATGCAGTAAACTAAGTGCCTTCTCTAGCAACAAGGTCAGTTGAAAGTATTACTGTGCCATATTGTGGAAGATTTAGGCAGCAGTGTTCATCATGCATTGGACCACCTCGGCAGTCATGTGGCATGTGAGGAGACTCCTCTCCTTTGATGAACACCGGTAAAGCTTTGTGTGGGGTCAGGTATGCTTCATTTGGGGCTGAGTGACAATTCAGTCCTTTTGATAATGTAGTGATATTAATGACAAGGATACTGAGGGTATATACAGCTGCAAAGACTGAATTAGACAGTAGATATAACTGCATGATTTCTGCCTTTTTGTCAATGATCACTAGTTATTATTATTATTCATGTATAAGTTATAAATATATATATGTATCAGGTATATGTAAGTATATGTTAGTTGCTGGATCACTTTGTTGAAGGCTTTTTGTCAAAGGCCATTTGTCAAAGGTTAGAAAAATATATCCCTCTGCTGACATGAAGAAGAATTTGGGCATCTGAGCATGGAAAGCACACACAGAAAGAGACTAATAGTGTTAGGAAGGTTTCCTTAAGAATGTTACCTGCTGGGAGAAACAGGATCTGGCTGACTGTTCTGTGTAACCAAATGAAGGCCCTTCAAAGACCGCCGTGGGAAGTTTGAGAACTTCCCGAAGGAACTGGTCATATCTTCCATAAACCATCACTCCACTGGAGTCAGAGATCATTGAGAAAATATCTGGTGGGAAGAAAGGTTGAAGGTATTTACTACATAAACATTCTAAAGCTTTATCTCAATACCTCTGATACAAATAATACAGAATAAGTGTATTATTTATAAAAATATAATATGAAATCTGAAATGGAGTCAGCATGATATACAGTGTTTTCTTGTTGTTGTTGTTTCAAGACAGGGTCTTGCTATCTGTCCGGTGTCTTTTTGAAGATGAGTTGCAATTTGGGTAATATTAACATATTTTAATAAGACAAAGAACATGGTTTTGTCTTGACTCACACATATTGCTGTAAAGATAAATTCTATATATGTGATAGATCCTGTTGTCGTTTGAAGGTGAAATGTCCCCCATAGGATCATGAGTTTGAATCCCTGGTCCCTATCTGCCATGGGGTGGTGCTTTGGGAAGGTTGTAGAATGCTTGGGAAGGCAGTGGAACCTTGCTGGAGGAAGTTCATCGTTGGGGCAGACATTGAGGTTCTGTTGTCTGGTCCTACTTCCTGTTCTTTCTCTGCTACTGGACTGCAGATGCAAAGCAGCAGCTGGCTTCTCTCTCCCACTCCTGCGTGTTCTTTACCTCCACAACTGGATCCCTCAGGAACTGTGGACCAAAATAAACCCCTTTCCCTTGGCTTCTTTCAGTCAGGACATTTTACCATGGCAACAGAAAAGTAGACAAAGTCGCCAACATCTTTGGAAACAGAATGAAATTGTCACTATAGAATTGGGGGAGGTACATGCATCATTTATCTAATTAGCAATTTATCCATTTGTTTCCTTATCAGAATTTTAGGGTTTGATTTAGTATTTTTGAAAAATAAAGGGTACAATAGAGAGAAGAAAGAAAGGGAAAAAGCCAACCCTTGAGTAAGTTCCCACAGAGGCAGAAAGAGTTGTAAACCACGCTGTCCAACAGGGTGAGGGCCCTGTGACTCATCAGAAGGGGCTTTGTGTAGTGAAGAGGAGCCTGGCCTCACAGATGATCTACGAGGTAAAGTCAGGCTTTCAGGTTATTCCCCAAAGTGCCTCTGGCTTCACTGAGCCTGTGAGCTCCATTCCGCCATGATGGGAACTTAATGAATACTAAGAGCTCAGTTCCCAAGGTGCTTCCTAATTCCCCTCCTGGGATTTATCAGAATGAAAGGATTTGCCATTAGTTTATCTAATGCTAATTAGACATCACTCAGCCAGGCTAGCTTCTGGGACAAAGATCATTATGCTACCTCTACTCACTTTGAGTTTAATTTTTCAAGGTCAGAATGTAGCCAAGGCTATCACAAGCTGAGGCTATTACATTTACACTGTAATTCTACATCACACATTACACACTTTTACTGGGTTATGGTTTTAGGATGGGAACTGACTCTCTTCATTTGAAATCTTCTGGATAAAAGTGACATTTCACAGTTGATATTAACCATGAGGTTGTAGAAATTCTGAGGTTAATATCCAAAATATGCAAGGAACTCAAATAACTCAACAGTAAGAAAAAAAAACTGAAAAATGGGCAGAGGAGCCAAGTAGATATTTCCTGAAAGAAGGCATACAAATTGGTTAGAAATTTATAAAGATGTTCAATGTCAATGATTGCCTAGTAAATGCAAATGAAAGCCATGGCCAGGTACCATCCCTAGTAAAACTGAAAAGAAAAAAAAAAGTGCATAAGACAATGAGTGTGAGAGAGAACTTGGAGAAAAGGGAATAGTTGTAAACTGTTGTGGAAATAAAAAAAATTCAGCCATTATGGAGGTAAGAAACACAATTAGAAAAATAGAATCACTACATGACCCAGCAATTCTATTCCTGGGTATCCATCTAAAGGTACATCTACATGAAACTAGTTTGTTGATGAACTATCTGTGCTTCTGTGTTTATGATAACATCCCTGCAACCGTGAAGATGTACAATCGACCTAAGTGTCCATTAACAAATATATAGATTAGTAAGAGCGGCACATCCCCAGTGGAGCATTGGTCAGCCACAGGAGGAGGAAATCTTACCACCTTCAACAATGTCGATGAGCTCAGAGGGCATTCTGTTAAGGGAAATGACTCTCTCTCTCTCTCTCTCTCTCTCTCTCTCTCTCTCTCTCTCTCTCTC